ACTTCTCTTTGTCTTTTCTATAAATATTTTCATGGTATTTCTGATATGCTCTGACAAAAGAGAAAGTCACTTACTGAGAAAAAGAGCATGTGTTTTCTGTATGATATGCTGAAGATAAAAAATACCAAAAGAAAAACAAGTCAGTCACAGCTATGGTCATAATTCGATCTCAGTTATGTTAATGTTGTGTGTCCTCACTTGTTGACCAATGAAAAAATTGTTCCATTGATAAAAGTGGCTGTTGTTCTTAAATTGGGCAAAGTTGTTTTATGTTTTTCTCCCTCATCCATCGATTTGTGTGGTGATTTCTTACTGTTTACGTGTATTCAGATTTGTGATATTGGACCAGTGATTTGTGGTTTTGACATTATTTTCGCCCCTGGAACTTTGAGTTGGGACTTGCGATTTGTTTATTTCCTTGTAGAATTGGGCTGTCATATCAATTAGTTGAACAAATTGTTTTCCAGGAAAGAAACAAGATTTTAAGCCTTTCTTTTTTTGCTGCATTTCTTCCACTACCCTGACTCTTTTCCATTTAGTATGCAATAGAAGTGCCACCAGTGGGACCTTGTTCCTGGGCATGAGAATATCTTCCCCTTAATGAGTGAATTTTTTCATACATGTGCACATGCATTGACCACACAATTCTTAACTTTACATATCTTCTTTCTTTTGCATGCATACTAGTATATACTAATGTATTTTTTGCCTTGTTACTCAGTTATATAAAAACAAAAATATAAAATATCACCTTGTTGAAATTTATTCCATTTCCTTCCAATCCTGCAAGTAATGATGGCCCATCATTTACATGTATAATTTTGTTTGCCACTGTTTTGGTCTAACTATAAGTAGTGCCACTGCAAGCTTATCAATTATTATGGGTAGCAACAAAGATGAGATCAATAGACTGCATGCCTTCTATGTGCCGTGTCCCTTCAAGATGTGGGTGATCATGGCTCTCCACAATTTCCTATACTTTATAGCTTTTAGTAAAGTTTGCTATCACTCATAATCCCTGTTTTGATAACCATTGACACAAGATTGTTAGGTAAGTTATGTTCTGTGAATGTCAAATTTTTTAAGCCTTCTTTCCTCATTATGTGCTCTAAAAATTTCAACTGTCTCTTTCTGATGTTAAGTACAAGTGTCTTTTTGTTTATATTTTCTCTAAAACTTTATTATTGGTCATATATTCAGTCCATGGAATTTTCAGCATCCTATTGTAAAATCACATTTCTTTTGCCTTAAGTTTTCTCTTCATCTATGAGGATATTGACCAGCATTCACTGCCATATAAAAGTTCAGTACTCTTTTCTTTGTTTCTAACAAAGTTTTCTTATTTCTTAATACTTTGCTTAACATTTAGAAGGCATCTTTTATGATCACAATGTGCCTTTGGATTTTAGTGTCACAGTTCCTGTCCTCTATTAAAATATTCCTATTTAAATTTTTGTACTTGCTTGATTTTGATATCTGGAATTTGTAATTCACATGTTAGTCTGTATGTAAATAATCAGTTCGTTTACTCTTGATAGTGTCAGTGAGAGGATTTCTGTGTGAAAATGTGTATCAGAGAATATATTATTTGTCACTTTAGGTAAATGAAAACAAGAAGGGAGCACTTGTAACTCAATAAGATTAAATATTTTTCAGATAGGTTGCTTTTACTGTGTTCTAAGTCAGGTCACTAAACTGTTGTTACTCAGGGTTCATTGGGTTGAAGCTGAGAAAGCCTCAGTATTGACAAACAAAAACTAAAAGTGTCAAATTGGTTGAGAAAATAGACAAACAAAAAGTGAAAAAAAAACAGGATAGAAATATTGGGAACATTTTCATGTAGAGAAAATTTCAAGGAATATTTCTGAAAAAGTGTGTATTCCAAGAATGTTTTTAAGAGTGTCTCTTTTAAAAGGATGAAGAAAAAACTTCAATTTACTCTGTAAGGAAGTGAGTGATGTATTTTGTCTAAGCCATATGTGGTTACTGTACTGAGTGCTAATTTTAATGTCCTATCCTGATCTCAGCCAGAGGTGAAAGGGAGTTAACTGCTTGAAATTTACAGCATACATACTCCTAGTTTTTTCATCATCATCGTCATCATCCCCCTGACTTTTGTAATCGGAGGGGGGGGCGTCCAAATGCAGAAGCCATGCTGAATCTCCTCTACAATGTTCTATCAATAGCAGTCATCAGCGATTCTGGTGTAGTCAATTGTTTGACATTGTCCAACCAGTTCAATGGTGCCTTGCATAATGGTCTTGCACAAGCTGTTGTGCCTTGTAATGTGTCCAAACCACGCCATTGTTCTTTGTTTGACAGTGGTGAGAAGAGGTTCCTGGTGGCCCACAAAACTTTTAACCCTTTTCTGCACAAACCCATTGATTTTATGTTCTCAATAGAAGATGCCAAGGAGTTTTCTCATGCATTTGTTCTCAAACGTTTGGATCCTTCTCTCTGTTTCTGCTAACAGTGTCCATGTTTCACATCCATATATCTTAGACATGTGCAAAAGCTGAAAAGGGGTTGCTGCTGACAGGATTATCAATACATGTGTGTCTAGCAAAAAGTTTTGACATCTGCTACAAGCGAAAAAAGGAAGAGGGAACTTTTAGTCCATCAAGAATAAAATAAATCAACATTTATTCAGAGAAGGAATAAACTGCTGAAAATAATCAAGAATCTGAGAACTGATTGAGTGTGGAATGAAAGAGTTCAGAATTAGGATTTACCCAGGTTGAGAGAAGTTTGCTTTCTATTTACTCTTTGTGTCTATTTAGTTAGGTTGAAGTAATGAATGTGTTGATCCAAGCTGGGTATGTGAAGGTGTTGCATAATGTCGTTTTATAACACATGATCAGTTATCAGCTTCCTGTTATCTGTCTCATAGGCAAATAAGCTAAATCCTATTTGCCAATTCCACTACACCTGCCTGAACTGAAAAGGTTTAATGCCTTTGGTTGTTCTTGAACTTCTTTTACAACCTCTTTCCTTCTCTTCCTCTTGAGGTTTATGTCTTGTTGTTTTTAATGGAGATCTTGATCTCATTTCATCCTCCATATCTAAGTCACTCCTGCTATCATCTATATGTTTGTTTTCTATTACAATTTCCTGATCTGAAGAACTCATCTTTTCTCCTCTGTCAAGATCTTCCCCCATCACAATATCTCTTCTTTGATTCTGGGTCTTATTTGCTCAGAATGAGCTTTTGGGATACTTTTCTACTTGTTTTTAAAAAGTTAAAAAACTTGTGATGAAAAACTGTGTTGTAACCTAGGGAAGGTTATTGAATAGAATAATCACATGAAGGTTGGTAATGAATGATAATACTTAGGACAAAAACAACACATATAAGATTCACCAGCAGCACGTAGAAGTAGTAGTCAATTGCTAGAAGTGAGTCAAGTGAATTCCACAATGAATCACTAACTGCAAGATATCTATCAACTGCCCCACATGGTCAGATATGGCACAAGGCCAAATTTAATGTGGGATATCCAAGCCCACAGGCTTGGCCAAAAATTCCCCATAGACCCCATATAAAATGTGGTTGGGTAGCTGTTTCTGGAGACAACCCTCATCCGGGGATCCTTTCTGCCCAGAAGCAGTGAGTTTAACCAGCACAGCTGGAGACGAATCTCCAACTGCAGACCAACATACAGTATTTACTACTGTATTTATGGAAGCATGCCCATTATCGTCCATAGAGAATAGAGATTTCCAATTTTTAGGAGAGGAGAAAATCTTTCCTTTTTAATAATTATCTTATTTTCATTTTAATTACTTTTATTCATTTAAATTTATATGATATTTTAATTAAATTACAGACTATATTTGTTATGTACTTCCTATAAGACAATGGAAAATTCTTGTATGCATCCTATCCTACCCCAGAGAAAGTCTGAGCAATATTTTATGACTAGCAGCATGGTCCAGCATTGCCCGTGCTTGATTCAAAAATCTTACAACTCATACAGCAATCGCTATCATTTGACTTAAAATATTTTTGCCCTTCCTTGCCTTTAAAGGAGTGCCTTTTGCCGTGCTGATGTTGCTACATGCCTTACTTCTTGCCTATCTCACACTGCAAATTTTTTCTAAGCTCTATACTAAACATTAAATCTGTTACGAAAAGAACTAAACAAAATGAACACAAAATGATCAGCTTTAAAAGGACTCATAACTGGAAAACTGAATGAAAAAAGAATGTTAACAACAAATACTTTTTCACACCCAACCCAGTTCTGTGGAATCAGAATCAACGTTGAGTTTAAGCAAGTTTAATGAGCCAATTGGAGTAAAGTGCCATGCAGATTTAAATTTTTCCCACTTGTGACAAATGCAGCTATCATTTTTTTTGCATGCTATCATGCTAGTTAACATTCGTGTCAGTCAGCTGTTGGCTCTCACACTGGCCAATAGAGTCTTCCTGCCTATTTGTGGCAGCCAGCTATAGGCTCTCACTCTGGCCAGTACAAAATGGCCACAAACTACATGAAAACTGCTATAGAAGCATGAAAAAATTGATTATTTCCACTATCGATGGGAGTTGGAAAATGCAAAGTTGGTCTTGGCCTTCCCGCTAACTTGGAGCATGTACATGTAAATTTTGGTGTAAATCCATCGAAAATTGTGGCCGTGCATTCGTTACACACACACACACACACATCCTGCCTTTTATAGATAGAGATGAACAGTGAATTAATGAAAAGACAAGGCTTAATTTTTCAAAATATTTACTTTTTATGAGGGTTGCTGAAAAGTTCTCAACCTGACTAAGAAGAGATTTTAAAAAAATATTCTGATTTTGAATCATTTGGTCAGATTTTGGGAAGTGGGTTAGGACATGAACTTTTCAGCACCTCATTGGATATGTCATTGTTCTATAATTCCTCAAAATTTATTGTTTATTCATGGTTTTTGTATTCCCAGACACTTGCAAGGCCAATGGACCCACTGTATCTGATATGCATGCCTTAGACAACATTATTTTGGATTTCATGAAAGAACAACAAATACCAGGATGTGCCTTTGCTCTCTCTTACAAAGGGCAACTTATATATAAGCAAGGTGAGTAATTCATATTCTACTGGAGAATTGTTTTGTAAAACTCAGGTTTGTAACATTTCTCATGATATTTTTTTCCAAATGTCTGCTTCTTATACATTAAAAACGTTTTTTTATACTAATGATTGGCCAATACAAGGCCCAAGAGCCACTCAATAGGTTACTGTATAGTGTTGTATGAGTGTAAGAAAAGGCAAAAAGTGTGGTTCATGGGGTTATGTAGGAAAGGTAATGGTTAATTCTAGATGTGTAGAGGTCAAGATTGTAGCAATTGGAAAAAACATCTTACTGGGAGTTTGTTCCACAAAGCAGCAGTTCTTGGGAAGAAGCCGTCTGAATAGAACTTACTTCTTAGTGATGGAATATGAAGGGAATGAGGATGATTCATTCGTGTGTATGTGGCATGGTAGGTCCCAGCTGCAAAGGTCAGGGTTGGTGGTGGGACCAGGGAATGAGGCTCATTAGAACACATGCCAAATGATGGAATAGCGATAGTAGTATGTAAAATAATTCATTAACCAGTAGACACTTTCAAGACAGGCAAGTGAGGACTGGGCAGCTCCAGGCCAGCTATAGCAGCAACACTTCGTTTATCGCCTGATCTGGCTCTTGTAAAGACAAAGATAAATTCTTTTTCAATTTTATACTTATATATATATATATATATATATATATATATATATATATATATATATATATATATATATATATATATAAATTGTGTCTGTCTGTGTGTGTAAATATGTATACCATTGTTAACATTGAGATTTCTCTATTCATAACGTCAAGAACCAAAAACAAAGAAACAGTTTATAAGACAACCCTCTCAAGGGGCTACCTTCTGAGTGGATCTTTGCGGATAGTGGAATGGTTTCCCTTTGCCTTCTCCACAGATTCCTTTTCTTTATTATCTGTTAATTGCCATGATTTCTTAGGAAAGATAATGGAATGAAATCCTGTTGCCTTTCCACAACTTTGAATTCAGAGTTGTCCTTCTTCTAGGCTTGCTGTCACTCAAGGCTAGAGAGCCCAGTCTACTCTGCTATTTAACTTATGATTGGTGGAAGAAGATATGGATTTATGTCTTTCTCAAGAGCATTTGTGCAAAAGTGAACACAGAAGACTAAGGATGGAACTTGGCTCAAAGTTTCCAATTTCGGCACCAATAAACTTTACACAACCTGCATACTCTCTGCATTTAAATTATATAAAGTATAGTCTATGAACATATTCACTTAGAAACAAAGAAAAGAGTAATGAACTGTTAGGTCATATCAATTCTCCTATATAGCAGTGAATGCTGAACAATTTTCTCACAGGTGAAGGAGAGACTTGAAACAACGGAAATGTGGTTCTACAGAAGGATGCTGAGAATACCATGGCCCAAACATATAAGCAGTGACAAAATTCTAGAGGCAATGGAAACAAAAAGGACACCTATACTTAACATCAGAAAGAGAGAGTTGAAATTTCTAGGATGCATAATGAGGAAAAAGGGCTTGGAAAATTTGATACTCACAGGACATATTGAAGGAAAGAGGGAGAGAGGAAAACTATACATAAACTACCTGGTGTGTTTGAGTGAATGGATGACAGAGCAGGGTTTGGAAGAGATAACAAAAAGGCAAAATATATTAAGAGCTACAAAAGATAGGAAATTGTGGAGAGCCATGATCACCAACATCCTGAAGGGACACATAGAAGAAGATTATGATTATTTTATTGCTAGTTTTATTCCATGTTAATATTGCTGTTTTTTTTAAAAAAAAGTCAAAACAATTGGTTGGGTTAATAACATTTGAGCAATCATTGTAAAATCAAATCAAGAATTAATTCACTTTATTGTCAGCTTTTTTCCAGATTTAATATATATATATTTCAGGATTTGTTTTGTTTTTATATCACTAGATTGATTTAAAATTAAAAAAAAATGATTATCTTTCTGTCCAGGTTATGGGAAAGCAAGTTATGAAAGAGATGTACAACCTGATTCTTTGTTTCGAATTGCCAGCATTAGTAAAACTTTGACAGCTATTGGCATCTTGAAACTCTTAGAAATGGAAAAACTCAAATTGACATCAACTGTCTTTGGACCAAATGGTAAGATAACATTCTTTGTTTATTCCTTTATCCTGAGTCCTGATAGACTCTTATATAAACTGCATGTACTGCAGCTGTACCAGCAATGGATGTATCTAGGGCAAGACAGTCTGATGCACGTCATCTCTTATCAATCTGGTTTTGAATTCAGACTGGTTGCTATACCTATCCAATCAGTCACAGCACCAAGTATACCCATCCACTCGGTCAGGGTGCCCATTATACATACATTCTTGCTTGTGGTAGATTATACATAGGCACCTGGCTGTGGTAACAGATTTTACATCTTTTTGTTGCTAGCATTTGATATCCAATTAAGAGTACATGTTGCAGGCAGGGGTGTTTTTTGTCCATCTGAAGTTTTCACTTGTACCTGGTCCCCAGATAAAGTCATCTAGTGTTGATTTTGTGTACCCACTGGGACATGCCTCTTGAAGCACACTTTTGTACAATTTGGTGAGCTGTGGTTTTTGATTTCCTGGAAGCCTACTTGAAAGGTGAACAGATTATTATAAGCAGAAAAACAGAATAAATGCTGGTTTAACAATAACCAACAATTTAATATCGTAGACTGTTCTAAAAGGTTACAATCACTCTTAGTTGAATTTCTACTAAGATCTTGTGGTATTGAGAAAGAGTATTTCTTTTAGCCTGAAAAGAGAAGTAAGAGTGATAACAAAGCTCTCTTGAATTTACTAAATCTGATTAGCTTTATTTTGAGTTCAAACCACACCAGTGCATTCTCTATAGCATTTTATAGGTTGGTGTTAATATTTTTAAATCAAACTTTCTTCCATCAAGTTCCATTCTGATTAACTAGTCTGCTATATTTTTTCCACATAGTATTTTTATTCTTTCACCTAGTATTCTAGGCTCTCTCAATATCTCAGTCACTTTCATTCACCATTATGACACCATCATTGCCACTGGCCTGTTATAGTTGCCACCCAAAGTAAAAGGATCAAATTTGCCTGACTATTTTATCCATAGCTATGGGGAGAAGAAACAGATTTGTGCTTTTTCCAAAAAATTTCTCTTTCTTAATTATCTGAGTGAACTCTTTTTAGCTTTCATCAGCATGGCTGATGCTATCCTCCAGGAGAGTGACTCATTGCACCTTCTCAGACTAATGTTTTCAACTGACATGAAGTGGAAAGACTAATATTGAATTCATTGCTAGGTCAGCTGCTAAAAAAGTTGCTTCACTATGTTGTACTAGAGAATTTTTCTCACCAGAATCTATCTAACATATTTGTAAGACTAACATTTATCCTTGTTTTGAATATTGCTAGCATATATGGTCTGATGCCCCTGCTATATATTTAGGGGACAATGAATTCATTTTCCATTAGGACCTTGTTCCCCCTTCTATAACAAAACTGGCTTACAGTCATATGACATCGAAACACTGGTTCTTGTACGATAACATAAGTTAAGCAACGTTGAGCTTGGTCAATACCTAGATATTTGACTGTTTGTAATTACCAGGTACTGTAAGCTTGAATGTGCAGGTGGTGTCATGGATAATGGTTTCAAATGAGAAATTGGAGAGTTGAATTTAAATTCCAGTCGGGTTCACTTATATGCAAATACTGTTAGGAAAAAGGATGAATCCACCTCTCCTCCTCCCAGCTATGGGTTAAATAATATGACTTGTATCAGAAAATCATTATTATCTCAAAAGAATTCTTACAATTCAAAAATATGTTTTAGTCTTAAATAACCTTAAAATGCTTGATAAGCCTAAGAAAAACAATCAAACAATCAATGATTTAGGAGGAATAGGGTCACTGTTCTTGATTGGCCTGCAAATAACCCGGCTGAAAATCCAATAGAAAATTTATGGGGAATCACCAAAGGGAGATTAAGCAGATACTATTCATCAAATCTTTAAGTGTGTCATTACTGAAATGTGGACATTGGTGGATTGTCAGAAGTTAACCGTTTTGTCACCATGATGAAAGAAATAGTAGATGCAAATGTGCTACAACAAAGTATTAAAAAGTACTAATACAGTTCTTCAAAATTGTCTTCATTAATAAATACTTTGTTTTGATAAAAATAAAACATTCTTTTTGTTACTAGCTATAACAATCTTCAAATTTTGAAAATTTCACATTAAAAAAAAACCTGGTTTGTCGGTGAAATACTAATAGATTATTTTCATATATTGAATTAATATATCTTGAAGAGTAAGCTGTCCAGTTTTAAAAAATTTCAAGCAAGAAATATGAAAATTATTCACAAAAAATGCAATATTCTATTTTTCTAACACATTGTTGCACAACAATGTAATGAGCTTTATAAGTGTCTGAAAGGTGATTTCCAGAAGTGAAAGTGTTAAGATAACAGATTAAGAAAAATGCTAATTAAAACAAGAATCAAAGGGAGATTAAAATAAATAACGATTAAAAAATATTAATTATTAAATATTAATTAGAAACATAAAATGAAGATTAGAAGTGTCAGAATGACTTGAAACTGAGACTATACATTTACATTGCTAGAAGTACACTTTAAGTTAACCCAAAGTGTCAAACATTTATCAGATTGGAATGTGCCAGACAAAATTTTGCTGGGAAATTGAAAATATATTTATCTCCACAAATTTAGCAGAGAATATATTAATTTCTTATCCCTTCTCCTCTCCTAGTGTATTAAAATAATATATTCAACATTTATGAAATCAGAATGTGTTGGTAAAACAGAAAAAAATTAAAAGCAGAATTGGCTCACTGGATTTCATTCAAATGTTTAATGGTTATACCCATGACCAGATATTTAACTGACAAAACAGGTTGTTATTACAAAAATAAATTGGACAAAACCTTCAACAAAGCCTTTGAAAATCTTATTTGATGATATAAATGTTAAATTTCTTTTAGAAAATGACTTAATTCTTTTCTTGATAATTTAGATATTCATTTATTCGGAATTTTGAATTATCTGAGTATATTTTTCCAAACTTTGTCTGAAAATGTCTGGATAACAAAGGAAATAACGCAGAAGGATGTTTACTTTTGCTTTTATTCATTTTATTTTATTTTATAACAGACTTTGTATTTTTATTTTATTTTCATAATTTCATTGTAATTGATAAACCCAGATTGTTCAAATCATTCTGTTTTGAGAAGCAAATGAATAGTCACTGAAATATTAACAAATCAGTTATATTTTGTAAAGAATTACTTATATTACTTTTATAAAATTATTTATATAGCTTATAAATAAATATAAAATACAGTACTTCCAATTATTCATGCCTTGATTTTCTGGAGTTTGATTATCTGGATGTAAAATTGCTAGGGAAAGCTAATTTCCTCCCCTCTAATGGATAAATTCAAAATACAATTGGGTTACTTGTCTGGGAGCGGTGCGTGGCACTTCTGAATTCAACATGGTGACAAGCTAATATGCATGTGGAATTCATGGTTTTCAATCCAACAAACGCTTGCTGTTCTCAGGCAGTAAATAAATAAAAGTTGTTTTATGTGTTAAAATGTACTTGTCTTTTATTTTTGTTTGTTTTTGTTCATCCCAACAATCTGGGATATAACAGAAATGAAAAGAAGAATTGAAATCATCCAAACATTTTTCAGTTATCCAAACTAAACCTATTCTGTTAATATTTGGCACAGTGTGTGTGTGTGTGTGTGTGTGTGTGTGTGTGTGTGTGTGTGTGTGTGTGTGTATATGCGTGCATGCTAACATCTGCATAAATTGCTTGCATATTAATTTATTTTTAATTCTGAAGGCCCATATATATAATAGGAGTTTTTCTAGTGTGGGTTACTGGACGATAGAATCTATCCACTTTCCCCAAAAAGTAGATATTTGGCACAATGGCTATCTTAGAACGTCCTCACCCACTTCATTTGGCCTGTAAGATCTTTTGTCTCTACCTCACCAAAGTCAGCATGACCAAAATCACTCATGCTGTAATGTTTGTTTGTTGAATGGACCCACCAGAAAACTTTGCTTGTCTTAACGTATGTTAGTAATTCTAATCACTTTTATAAATCTGTCTTTCACCTTACTATGAGCATTTAGCTTAATTCATAGTAATTTTTTTCTCTCCTTTTCTTTGTTTTAAACTTTCTGTTGATATTTGACACAGTAGGTGTCTGTGTGTGTGTCTGTGTATATATATATATATATATATATATATATATATATATATATATATATATATATATATTAGTGATGGGATGTTTAATTGGAATCTAGAATCGGAAATATCAGAACTTTTTTAGGGTATCAAACACAGAATCGGAATTGGAGAATTTTTAAGCTAATTTCCGATTCCAAAAACGATTCTTTTGACTTAATTTTCCATTCCTGATACTACTAAGAAAAAGATATAAATATTTATTGATTTTAAACTATAGCTTTCAAGACAGATTTTTATCTTTATTTACTTAAAAAAATAAACAAACTTTTATTTGAAGTTCCCTGAAAAAAAGCTTTTTCACACAAAAGTTTGTATTAAAAAACCTAAAATTTAATTTCCTTCAAAAATTGTATTTAATTTTATTTTACTAATATTTTTCTTTGGCATAATTGAACATTCCTGTGTTAAATTATTTTGGCATTTAAAATATTTTCAACATTTTTTCTTATTTATTCCTCCTCGGAGCCAAACGAGATGCAAGTTCTATAAGTAGAAGTGTATAAAAAAATTACATTCCATCATTGCAGATCTGACTTTGAATTACCACCAATCAGGATGAATGTAATTCCTCTCAGGGAAGGACCTTACTCTTCCTGCTATCCTTTACCTTTAAAAGAGTCAGATCAGGCCCAAAATGGAGTACTGCTGTCATATTTGGGTGGGAGCTGCTCAGACCTCACTCTCCAGCCTTGATAGAGTTCAAAAGCATCTCTGAGCCCTTGTGGGTGATGAATTATTCTCCACCCTTTGACCTCTCTCCCACATGCAAGCCTCTCGCTACTCTACTGTTACTTTCATGGAAAGTGCTCAGATGAACTACATTCCACAGCAAGGACCCGCCATGCCACTTACATTGTAGAAAACAACCCACATTCTCTCTGTATTCCAACAGTGAGAATTAAGTTCTGCTTGAGCAACTTCTTCCCATGAACCACTGCCCTGTGGAACCAACACCCAACAGGATGTTTCCCTGATCACTACAGTCTTAATCTGTTCAAGGCTAGGGTTAACTATTATCTTCCACTCCTATATGCACAAATGATCTCTTAACATAACCCTCTACCTTGAGTGGCCTTGGGCCTTATAAAAAGGTGAACCTTGTTGTAAAAAAAAAAAATTACTAATATTTCATCTCAGACAAAGTGTTCTGAGAAATACTCAATATTTAATAAAAATGATGATAAGATGTTTAAGCTAATTTTGCTTTCAATCACAAGCTACCCACACAAATACGTCTACTTTAATCCAGCTTTGGGAGTTGATGCAAGAAAATCATAAGGTCAGCCAGAATCAAACAAAAATTGACACATGTTTTTCATCAAAATTAAATGAGAGAAAATCTTGAACAAAGCACTTGAACATGTTATTTGATTGTATAAATCAGTGATTCTAAATCGTTTTTTACTCATGGACCAGTTTTACTCTTAATTTTTTTGTTGGACCCCCATAACCATTTATTGAAAAAAAGCTTATTTTATTTTTTACTAATAGATAAGTTTAGGAATTGTATTATAGAAATAGTAAATGGATATGATTTATTTTGAAGTAAAACTAATTTAATGAAAATAAACTTGTATTTAACAACAAAATTCTATGGAATATTTATGTACACTAGTAAAATAACTCATAATAAACGATTTTAAAATATGTAAGTAATCAATAAATTTAAAAACATGCAGATTTATTCAGTGACATCCTTGTGATTGATACTGCTGAAGAGGTTAATACTGTTAATCCTTCCTTGCTATATAATCCTTATGTAATTTATATATTAAATTAATTTTGTTCTTAATATTTTATTTTTTAAATATTTTAATTTATATGAATATATTTTTTTATTTTATTAATATTTAAAATTAATATTATTATTTATTATTAATATATTAAATTAATTTATATAATAAATTATAATCTTTATATAATTTTCCTTTATGCATATATAATTCTTTTTTTATACATCCTTCTCAGTTTTAATTCAACTGGGAGAGTGAAAGGGATGCCAACTTATGTCACTTGATGTCATTTTCTGCTAGTTTTAGAGTTGATTTTTTAGTTTTAGTATTTTAATATGGCATAAATTACTGTAGAAATTCCAGTTCTTAGTTGTAACGACCATTCTGAAGTGAAATTACTCTATGGACCACTAAAATATAACTCTGGATCCCAAATTTGCTATTTTTTTGTATGGATCCTCAGTAATGTTACATGAGCCCTCGAGGTCCATGTGGATTTCAGTTGAGAAAAACTGATATAAATATCAAATTTCTTTCAGAAAGTTACTATTTTCTTCATTCTTTTTCAATAATTTAGATATTCAGTTATCTGGCATTTTCAGTTACCCAAACATATTTTTTCAACCCTTTTCCCAAGATGTCTAGTTCATCAAAGAAGTGTATATATCAAATATATATATATTTTATATGTCTCTATTGATTTAATTATATAACCTCTTCATGTCAAGTGGCAATCATGATCTATCCTCCAAATCTTCACTTCCTACCATCCTCTCTTTCATTCATTTCACACACCTCATTCATTATTACCATTTTCACAGTAACCTTCTACCTTGAGTGGCACTCGGCCTTGTATTGGACCAACTTTAGTATATAAAATATTAATTTCTAATATTTGTTTTAATCACTTGAATGTAGGAATCCTGTCAAACTTCAAGCGTACTTCAAAAGGGGACCGACGTCTTCACCAAATCACCATTCATCACTTGCTACAACACAGTGCAGGATGGGATCGTGACAGGGTTGGTGATGCAGTGTTTTGGGATCTTGATAAAGTTGTTAAAAAGAAAGAAGCCACAGCCCAGGATACAACCCTCCGATATATGATGAGTAAAAAACTGCAATTTGCACCTGGTAATTTTATTTGTTCATATATTTTTTTTTTTTTTGACAATGTGTTTTCATTCTTATATGTGAGTTGGTTTGGAATATTTCTCTCATTTTTGTTAGATTGTTTGTTTTTTATATTGTTTCAGCCGTATACAGCGTGTGATGGGTAAATTGTCGCCTTTTTATATTTTTAATTTTGCACATGTGCATTATTTGTTTTTGATTTTGTTGACTGCACAGTATAGTAGGGTCAGTTGGGCACCATCTGTGAGAAAAAGAACACTGTGACACAATTCATTCCACCAGAAATTTAGAAGCGGCATACTGTACTGCTTGGTGCCAGAAGTTCCAATACAAACATTTCAGCATGTTTGGGTGTCAATCTGAGGATAGTGCAGAGGATTCAGAAAGAGTTGGATGAGTCTAATGGTGATTAGAAGGTGTTTGGAGTGATCACTAGTGATGGTGATGTTATGCTTCCATTCATCTTCCCACAGGGCTTCAAACTCAACATGGAGGTCTACATCAAGCATCTTGAGGGGTAGTGCTGCCCCGGATTAAAAGGGTGGCTGCTGGAAGACCCTACGTCTGACAACAGGACTCTGCACTATGCCACATAATCAAGAGAACACAATCATGGCTGTCAGACAATTTCTACAAACACATCACCCCACTTACATCTGGCTACTTAACTCCACAGAGTGCAACCCCCTTGATTATTATGTGTGGGGTCAAGCGAAAAACCAACAAAACTCTTTGTAATACCAAAGATGAACTGAAGGGAAGGATTATGGCAGCATTAACCAACTTAAACAAGGAGAGCATCCAGAAGAGTTGAAGGAGATTTCGAAGGAGGCCATGGTTGAAGCCAATGGTGATTTTATTGAATAAATTTAGTATTTCAAGATATTTTTGTGTAATTTTGGTAAATATATCTGTTAAAATTAGATATCAGTATTATTTTCATTTTTGTGCAATTTAGATGACAATTTATTCATCGCCCTCCGTACTTTCTGGCATTCTTCAGGTATCTGGAAACAGGGTGAGCAATAACTGAGTAGTACTAAATAAGATCACGACGAGATATTCCTTGACACAGATAACACATCAAGAACAATCTATACTCATAGATTAAATAAAGTACTCAGGTTACCTGGATCTATAGAAACCTAAAGAAGATGAGCGGGCACAATAGCTGAAACAACAACAACAAAGATGAGGACATTAGTCCAAATGTAAATAATTTTAACTCATCCAGAAATTCAGACAGAATGTTATCAGTTTGCAAAATTTTCTTTATATAATTAGTGTAAATGCTTTCTGACATTATCCAATCTGATTACTAAATATGGTCATTACATATTTGTTGAATAGAATTAACATTGGTATAATGTTGTGTTGATGAATCACCTTATGATATAAAATCTCATTAACAATAGGTTGTGTGGCAGACATTCTGATCATAGATCAAAAATAAGAGATTATGACATAAACCCAGCAAATTAATCCAAGATTATGTCATCAACACAGAGAATAGATCCAAGATCATCACATGAATCCAAAGAATAAATACAAGATTATTATATTGACCCAGAGAATAAATTCAAGATTCTCACCTCAGTGCATAGAATCAATCCAAGATTAAATACAAGATTATCATATTGATTAAATCCAAGATTATCATATTGACCTAGACAATAAAACCAAGATTATCAAATCAATCTAAGATTAAATCCAGGATTATCACATTGACCCACACAATAAAACCAAGATTATCAAATCAATGCAAGATTAAATCCAAGATTATTAAATCAACCCAAGATTATCAAACTGACCCAGACAATAAAAACAAGATTATCAAATTGACCCAGACAATGAAATCAAGATTATCAAAGCAATCCAAGATTAAATCCAAGATTATCACATTGACCCAGACCATAAAACCAAGATTATCAAATCAATCCAAGATTAAATTCAAGACTATCAAATCAACCCAGACAATAAAACCAAGATTATCAAATCAATCCAAGATTACATCTACCTAGAGAATATTTACTTGATGAATGTATTTGAATTGTTGAATTTTTAAAATCTATATTCATATATATAACTCTTTCTGGCAAGCTAAACACAATTACTCAAGGGAAATCAGTTTAATAAGTCATTTTTTTTATTTGATATAATTCTAGAATATATTGTGTTGAGAGAACACAGAACTTGCTCTCTCACCCCTAAATGGTATTTTCTCTCTCTATGCCTTTGTTTATCAAGGTCTCTTTGGATTGTTAAGTGCTGGATATATGACAACAATTACTAAGCAGTACAAAGTGAAGTACAGAACAAATCTTCAATGAAATCTGAACTCACCTTTCTTATTTTACCATACATAAAAGAAATACTAATAAAATACTAAGAAATACTAATCAAAAATGAATCAAAAATGTTTAAATTGAGAAATTTGAACAGAATAACTTACATTTAGATTTTATGACTTTTTGCCAATGATTTTTTTCATTTGTTTCTTTTTTAGTTTTTTAAAAGTGGGTAAGAAGTATTTGTATTCTTCTGTTCCTTTTCTAATTTTCTATTTGACTTTATTTAATGTATTTCATTCAGTTATTTAATAAGTTAAATATTGTAAAGCCTGATGTTAGTTTTATGGCTGCATTGTTTGAGCCTCCAGATGTCCCAGTGTCAAACTAAAAGCAATCTATGGTAATGGTAAAGGCAAAATTACTGTTTCCTTATAAGAAAACATTTCACATTCATTGACCAGACAGTTAACATTACTGTAAGTTGAAATTTATAAAACTTCATATTAAAATATTTTTACAAGAAATTAGACTCTTCAAGTACACTAAATGTTATTCAGTCAGTCAGTTATGTGCTATGTGTGATACACACTTAGGTGATTATGTATCATGACTGATGAGGCAGATTTTATTCACGCAGTAGGTTGCCATTTCTTTCTGCAGTAGACCAGTTGCCATCCAAGGCTATGGAACCCGGTCTGTCCTGCTATTTACCCATAGCTGGAGGGGGGTGGTGGAAAGAAAAGAATTTATACCTTTCCCAAGGGTATTAGCACATAAGTGAATGTAATGGATTCGACTGGAATTCGAACTCGGCTCTCCGATTCCTCAATCCAAGCCGCTAGCCATTACTCCACCGTACATTTTTTTTAATACTGATGGAAGTTTCCACCTAAAACTCTTATTTCTGGTAATTGATATAAAATATTAAAATCTTCATTACATCATTATTTTTCCTTCTAGTTACATGTGCTACCTATTTCTTGTTGTTTCATATGTATATTTTGTGTTGTTTCGTATGTATATTTTGTGTTGTTTCATATGCATATGTGTGTGTAATGAATAGTAGCAGGGAATGAAAAATTGGCAGGCCGAGTTTGAATTCTAGTTGAGTTTCTTACATTGACTTATGTGCAAATGATCTTGGGAAAGATAGGAATCCATCTCTTCTTCTCTTCCAGCTATGGATTAAATAGTAGGACAGACTGGGCTCTTTATCTTTGGTTGGCAACTAATCTAGGAGAAGGACAACTCTGAATTCAAAAACCTGTATTCAGCTCTTCTCCATATTTTTAGATAATATTAGTTTAATGATACATGTCTTACTAATTAACCCATAGCTGGGGAGAAAAGAGGTAGATTCATACCTTTCTTAAGGGTATTTGCATGTAAGTGAATATAATGAACCTAACGGGAATTGAAACTTGGCTCTCCAATCTTCAATTCCAAGCCATTATCCATTACACCACCTGCACATCCAAACTTACAGTAACTGGTATTTCCAAGTGGTCTCCCATCTAGGTACTGACCAGGCTTGATATTGCTTAACTTCTGTACAGGAACCTGTGTTTCTGTTTGATGGGTTTGTAAACAGAACACCATGGACTGAACATGTGAGCAATGAGAAAGTTTTAAAGAAAATGGAAACAAAGAGGAAGAATCAAAAAGAAGTTGAAATTTCTGGGACACATAATGAGGAAAGAAGGCTTGGAGAATTTGACAATCACAGGATATGTTGAATGCAAGATGGACAGAAGGAACAACAAGGAACCTACCTTACAAGCTTGTGTAAATGGATTGACAAAACAGGGACTGGGAGGGATAGTAAGGAGGCAAATATTGCTTAGAGCTAAAAATGATAGGAAGTCGTTGAGAGCCATGATCAACCTTCCTAACAAGCTTGTGTAAATTGATTGGCAAAACATAGAGTAGGAGAAATAGTAAGGAGACAAATATTGCTTCGAGCTAAAAAGGATAGGAAGTTGTGAAGAGCCATGATCAACCTACCTAACAAGCTTGTGTAAATGGATGGCAGAACAGGGACTGGGAAAGATATTAAGACAAACTGGACAGAATAAATTCGCTTACATTCAAAAAGGCTGAGGGTGTGTGCCTGTCAGTGCCATTGGCTCCGTGATATGAAGAAAAACCAGAGTATACTCATTGTTTATAACAGAAAACAGTTGATAGAATAACCCAGATGTACTGGCTACAAATTAGTGCACCAACCTTTGAACATATATGATATGTCCCGGAAAGAGATATATTCGTTCGGAGTAGCAAAGTGCTTGTTGACTACTGTAACCGTGTAGGACAATCTAGCAGGTAACTGTAATGAACTGGTCCTCGTCGTAGTGGTAGGAAATAGGCGTAGACAATAGACGTAGTTCCTGTACCTCCACATCAGTCTGTATTTATGGCTGACACCAGCCAATCATATTACTGTGAGGGGAAACCCAGGTGTATGCATATTCATTACATCAGTATATTAAGTCAGTGGCAATGAACAAGTGGGAGAAAGATTTGGATTTGAGGCTATTTAAACTTACAGCTCTGTGAATTTGTGACAATTTGCTACAGAAATGTTGCTTAAAGTTATAATGGATAGAAAGTTGTGAAGAGATATGATTGTCCATGTCCTTTCCGGACATGGTACATAAAGAAGAGTTACATGGTCATGGCATTTGTTTTTTAGATACTAATCTACTAATTTAGTGTAAAACAATGATGGCAGCATTTAATTTTAACTTTGCATTTGAATTTTCAGACTGAGTAATCCAGTATTTTTATCTGTGCAAGAAAAATTCTGCTTTTAAAATCATTAAAAGTAAAAATGTCAAAAAAATAGATATAAAAAGCAATGTATTAGCGACACATTATCACAACTTACTAATGTGATATTTCAAATGGTATGTTTAGTTACTGGCACCAAGTTATGTTACTATAACAACAAAATACCTCATTAGTAAATAAGGAAACTCAGACTGTGTGACTGATAAATATAGAATTTCATCTTGCGTTTTATAGAATAGATTAGGGGTTGGCAATCTTTTGCTATGTGCCGACTTAAAGGTTTAAAATCATTCAGTGTGCCAATATATCTGTTCTACAATATATTTTATATAGTAATATATAATATATATTAAAATTGAAACAGCTAAATATCTTCTTTGTGTTGTAGTAGAACTTTGTGATGTCATTTGCGGCTGTGTGCCATTGGAAATTGCTTAGCATGCCACATGTGGCATGTGTGCCATAAGCTGATGACCCCTGGAATAGATCATTTTTTTTTTTTTTGTGTAATTTTTTGTTTTTTCAGGTAAAAGACACAGCTATTCTAACCTTGGTTATTTGGTTTTGGGGAAAGTGATTGAAAAAATTGCAGTTTGCTCTTATGAAAATTTCATGAAAGATCTTCTTTCTCAGCTTGGCATTCAAAACATGGTGGTTGGCAGTAACAGTGTTTCATATTACACCCAAGATGAGGTAAGTTCTTTTCTGATGAAATGATTTTTCCTTATAGTCTACCCTGTTAGTCTTTTTTATATTGTTTCCAAACATCTAATAATCCATGTGGGTCATAAACTCAGTTTAATACAAATTTAACAAGATCATCCATGAATTATCGAAAGAGATCATCGATTGTGAAATGTTTCACCAAATACAAAGCACAAGAGCCACTCAAAGTAGAGGGTTTCTGAATGAGTTCTGTAATATGAATGTAAGAAGATGTAGAAGGAAGTGAATATAAATATAAGGTAGATAGATGATGATTGACCCTTGACTTTAAAAGATTAAATGTTGTAGTGTCCAGGGAAGCATCCACCTGGGAGCCTGTTCTACAAAGTAGCATTTCTTGGGAAAAAGCTGTCTGAGTGGAACTTGTACCTTACAAATGGAATACAGAGGAAATGTGGATGATTTGACTCATGATATTGATTTAAAAATGAGTATTTACAAGTGTGTGCTGAAAAGTTCTTGTCTTGGCCCACGTCCCAAAATCTGACGAAATATGAGAAGCTTTTAAAATTCTTTTCTTGGTCAGACTGAGAACTTTTTAGTATCCCTTCATGTACTTACTTATATTTTCTTTATTCTTGAGAATTGACAACAAAGATATTAAATACTATTTATTTATTAGAATGCCACTTTTTTAGGCACAATGGTTAAACATTGCCAAAATTGTACTAAAGTTCAATCCTCAAGAGCCACTCAAAGTAGAGTGTTACTCAATGAGGTGTGAGATAATAATGTAATAAGAAATGGAAATGAATATTATGAGGATATGGCGGATAGATAATGATTGGCTTTAGCCTAGAAGAGGTTAAGATTTTAGTGTTTTGGGAAGCATTCTCTCGGGAGTCTGTTCCACAGGTAAAATTGTAATGAAAGAAAAGGGAGGAGGGATCAAAAGAGAATAGAAGATTAATAACAAATAAAATCACACACTCAATTATTAACCAAACAAATCATTATCAAGTCTTGTGATTTACAGATTTGCAAAATCCACATGATATAAGCAGTTAAAATATCTCCAATATTAAAATGATTAAAATGATCACTTATCCCAGATGTAAATGAGACAGGCTTTTTGACCTCCTTGATCTGAGGCTTTATTAACTTGTGCCAATAAAAATACATGAATACAACTTGGATTTATTCTGATAATGCAGTGCTGTGTCAGTCAGCAGGACTGCTGGCAACAAGTCAGACACCTGATTGAGTTCAAACCATGCATGCAACTAATTCCACCTTTATTTTTAGATAGATTTTTTCCTATCATATTTTTTTTACTGTACCTCATATTGTAAATATGATTTTTTTATAAAAATTTAAATTTTTCTTCAAGGAAAATTATTTCTTTCCATGAGTCTTTATATTATATGTCTGCTTTCTTCTTCTGTGCCGTGACCCTTCAGGACATTAGCAATTATGGCTCTCCACAATTTCCTGTCCTTTGTAGCTCTTAATAAATTTTGTCATTTTGTTATTTCTCCTAAACCTTGTTCCACCATCCATTTACTCAAGCTCACCAGGTAAGTTATGCCTTATTTCCTCTCTGTCTCTTCTGCCTTCAATCAGTCTTGTGAGTATTAAATTTTCTAAGCTCTCTTTCCTCATTATGTGCCCTAGAAATTTCAACTATTTCTTCCTGATGTTAAGTGTTATGGAGACCTATTTATATTAGAATGACTTCTTCCTCCTTCATAAATACTAACCTGCGAGACTTCCTAAGAAGGCAGTCGGGACGCAGTGTAACCTGACAGTTCGAACAGACACTTCTATCTTCTGACTAATAACACTCTTATTTTGTATATATGTTCTGTTATTTCAATACACTTATTCAACCTACCTTCTTTCTGTGTCTTTCTTTCTAGCACCTAACAGGCCACAACATTAAGCATGATGTCCTTGTTTCCATTTTCTCAAAAATTTTGTTGTTGCTTACATATTTGGTCCATGGTATCCTCAGTATTCTTCTGTAGAACCACATTTCTGTTGCTTCAAGTCTCTTCTTCATCTGTGAGGAAATTGTCCAGCATTCACTGCCATTAACAGGCTCTGGCATTCAGGTCTTCTCCACAAGTGAAAAGTTATGGTATCTCTGGGTACATTTTTGAGCTGATTCAGTTGTTTCTATCAAATCATGAAAGTTGTCATGAATAGCCACTTCCTTTCATACTAACGCGGGTGTCCCGCCAAGGTTCTAGCCTTAGTCCTACACTGTTTTTAATCTTCATTAATGACCTTTCCAATGAGATCAAGTCTCAACTTGGCATCTACGCTAATGAAATTTATTCCTGCCTCAATACTAAGGTTGATCAGTCCAACAAGGTCAGAATGGCAGCTGATGTAGAAAACAACATCAAGACTGTTGTTAACTGGGGCAAAAGATGGCTTGTCAATTTTAATGCCTGCAAACCTAAACTTCTTTCTATTAATCATCTGCAAGACCCCTCTCTGCCTTCCATTAGCATGGCTGATGCTATCCTCCAGGAAAGTGACTCATTATGCCTTCTCTGGCTAATGTGCTCAGATGACATGAAGAGGAAAGACTCTATTGAATCCATTGCTAGGCCAGCTGCTAAGAAAGTCAGTTCACTGTGTCAGGCGAGACAGTTCTATAGGTCTTTGTTTTGTTACCTTGACTGTATGAATTTGGATGCAATACTATACTGGCAGCAAGATCACATCAATTTACAGTTGAGCTAGGTAGATGTAGTTGTAACTTCTATGCTAACAGTTTTTTTTTCTCTCACCTCTCGCTTGTGGAACACTGTTCTGGCTCCATGCTTTCCAGCCAACTTTAATCTGCAAAAATTTAAATTCAATGCCAATTGCTATTTGCTGTCCTCCTGAATTCTCTTTCTACTCATTACAAATGTTTCTCTTCCTATTTCATCCACATCCTGTAACCCCTTGCATGTTAGTAGCTGTACTTGCTTGGAGTGACACTAATTAAAAAAAAAATGTATATAGGAGGACTACTATTGCATAACAGTTCAGTACTCTTTTCTTTGTTTCTTAATACTTTTCTCAGGTGATATACACTGGAATTTCAAACTGAACCCTTTATTTAGTCTACAGGGTGAGATTGTTTGGAGCAAGACTCCTTAAAACAATACCTTTACCAGATGAACCATAACATCTACCCTAAAAAGTTTTTTGCAATGCTCAAGGTTGGCTTACCATTTAAATACACCTTTTTTTTTTTAATCATTTCACTCCATGCATAAAGCCACTGGGACATTGACGAAAAAATGACTGATCTGGAGAATTGTAGTTTAAAAACAGTAAAATCGACCTTACTAACCGAAATGCTCCTCTGTGGCTCAATTGGTAAAAGCATGTCAGGCTATATGACGGTTCCGTATAGGATACAGGTTCTATTCCTGTCAGAGGTCACATGTTTTCTATGAAAATTTCTCAGACATTCAGGCTTGTAAATGTTGTTAATACCGTTTATTATAAACAGAGCATTTACTTAAATATTTGTATCTATAAAAAGAACATATAAACATAAAAAAAATGTCTTAAAATAATTGACGGACTTTGTCCATTTCATAATGTGTGACGTCATAGATATATATATAAACATTTAGTAGTAAATTGGAATTTCATCGCTAAAACTACACCCTTTTTTGGCTATGGTGACCGATGCAACCTGTGTTTGCTGGAAAAAAGATTCATCCTCAAAAATATTAATAACTGAAATCTATTTAATAAACGAAATGAACTAATGTTAGCTTGTAATCACAGGAAAAAATTTCTCTTAAAATATTTTAATTCTAGATAAATATATTATCCAAATATTACATGCCCTTCCCATATTTTAGGTTACATATTGATTACTCCCCTTTAACCATTTTAACATCTATTATTACTTAATGAATTACCCAGTGTTCCTCTTTTAAACTTTAAGATTACTTCTGTTTTTTTTTTTTTAACAATAGCCCCCTACCTATGTTCTACTTTCTGTATTTACATGCCAATATTATATTTAGCAGATTTTAAATTTGAGCGTTTATTCTGCGTTTAATTTAATGTTCCTCTTATGAGACCCAGTATTTTTTTTTCTTTAAAATCAAAAGTAATAATTTGTGTCTGATGAATTGGTAGAACAATGAAAATTAAGTTGCACTTCAAACGTAGGTATATGTATATTTATTAATATATACTTCTTTGTTCTGTCTAACCACATTGAGCACTGTTTTGTTTACACCTTAAACTGAATTGAGTAAATATTTATTCACTTACCTGTGTATGGATGCTAACACATGTATATACAGTTGCTAATATCTAGTTATTTGACTTATCCACGTCAATACCCATATAGAAACATATGCATATATATGTGTGTGTGTGTGTGTGTGTGTTCTTTTTTTGGATGGTTTGCTAAGGTGTTCTTTGTTATTTCCTATTGATACTAAGGTTTTAATAGGCATATTTTTGGATGGATGCTACTGACAGCTCATAAAAAAATTATGATTATCACAACCAAATCAATGTTTAATGATAACAATAGTTTTCCTTAGGCTGAACTCTGAATGCCGGTCTCTGCCCAACTTGACCGTTCTGAAATGTTTTCCTTTTTTTTTTCTTTATTCTCTTACCAAATAAAGAAGAAATGTAATAAAAAAAATATTAGCCAGGAAGTAGACATCAATACATTTTTGGCTTGAATATATTTGTATTTTGTAACCTGGCTTTGCTTAGGAGGACACATTTTGTAATCACCATTCCCCGTCTTTCGCTCATATGTATAAAGTGGGGTGTGCTGAAAAGTGTTCTCAAACCAAATTCTGATTCTGTCTATATTTCTGAGATGAGGTATTATGTACAGTATTTACATTAGTCGGACTATTGTCCTCATCTTTGTCGCCATATTTGTCACAACGTTTCGGCACAGTGGATAAAGGCGTTGGTTAGATCCAGTGACAGACCCAAAGAAGGTGAGTTCAATACCTGGTTAAGGCAGTGGAGAA